TCCTGTCAATTCGATGGATGATACTGTATGTCAACAGACAAAGGATGCAGATTTCATTCGTGAACCTCTGAGGGTGGGGGTCATAACGGTAGGTCCTAGCTCAATCACCAGTCATTGGACAATCTTAGACACTATATTTTGCGTGATCTTGGCTACTATACATGGGTTTTTATCCAGGGTCTAATTTTATTCATGGATCTGCAGATGCCTTAACTGAGACAAAAACCTTAAGTATACCGTAAGTTTGGACCAAATTGGAACTTTGTGTGAACTATGACGAATTGATTGACCTTTTGCCTAGGAGGATTCGAAACAAGATAACAGGGAGAGTGGTGCAGTTCTTTGTATTCGTAGTGAGATTCGTTTTGTCTTTAATGGCAAAACTAAGTTAGCTTGTTATGAAATACTGCTAAAGCCATTGTTATTTCCTATTTGGGAATAAGTTGGTATAATTCTTGTTGAGAGTTCCTGTTTGTATTTTGGGATGTTTTGTTGCTTTGACCTTCTGTTATTATTAGCTCCAGAGAGGTTAATAGTTTGTTTGATTAGAACGACTTTGAGAGCGACTATTTGTTTCTTGTTATCAGCAGTGCCCTGGTCTATAATCTCTCTTCCGTGTGAACCCATAACTACTTATTTTTTCTTTGTTTGGTTTTTTTATTTTATTTTTTTTTGATTGCTCTGTTCATGTTTCGTATCGGTTGTGTTTTTGTTTGTTTTTTTTTTTTGTTGTTGCTCCTGGTGTGAGCTCTCTTTACGCCTGTGGATTTGACAATTATAGCGTGGTGAGCTCTTCTCCACTATGGTGTCAACAGTTTTGGTCATGCCGGTATGGTAGAACTCGATTAACATATTGGGACCTCATAGGCACCGTTATAGTCTAATTACCCTGCGTGGCGTTTCTAACAGGCTAGAGCCAGTCTCATGTTGCTTTCTTACAGCCTGTATGAGCTGTCAGTGTCTGAAATATTTGATATCTTTTTTTATTTCGTTTATTAACAAGAGCTAAGTTTATATGCCCTTTCTTTTGTTATTATTCTCTTGTTCTTATGAATCAATTCTCCTGACGCCAGCGCAGTATTAATAAATGTCTTTTCGAGGTCCTCTATTTGGAACCACGCCCTGGGTGTGGTACTTTACTGCAATAAACCAGGCTCTGCAGTTAAAAAATTTCAACTGTTGGCAGGGATATTATGATTTTGCATGTTAATGGGTCTGTCGATCGTATAATTTTGTTATGTTTCGAATGAATTTATTGGTGGTGTCATATCACTAAACCAAACATACTAGATTCCGTATTCCTTTTCATTAAACCAATGAAAACATTTGGCCTGGATTGAAAAAGTATTTACTGTTCCTTTTGAGCGTCACAACTTCATTCTTTTTCATTAGAAAAAATCTCTTATCCAACAATGCTTTAGAAAGAGGAGAATTAAATTTTGAAAATGGGGCTTTGATTTCAATCCCCCAAACGTTTCCATTGCATTTTACAATTCCGTCAAGAGATGCACCAAGATAGGAATGAGTTTTTGATATAATAAGGCCAGGCTCTTCGATTGAAATGTTACAGCCATCTTCCTTTGACAGTTGTTGTGAATACAAAGAGCGAATATGTGATTCAAAAATCTTTCCATGTTGAGTACTGGCAGAGGAAAAAGAAGAGTAGTACATGGAATGAAGCTTTCTTGATGGTTCAACAGAGTTCACTGCAGCAGTATAGAAATTTGATGCAGTTATGCGGTACATTCTATGGAATTTCCATGCTTCATTTGATGCTTGGCCACGAGTTGATTCTTCTATCTCCTTGATTTCTTTTTCACCAAGGTTACTCTTTATGCTGCAAAAATATTCCATCATCTCTTTGAAACCAGGACAAGATATATCATAAAAATTATTGAATGGAACTGAGTCCTCAATAATACACAAATTAACATCAGAATTATCAAATGGGGAATTCAAAGATGATACAATTTCAGTTGAAATTGAAGAGGGTGACTCTGGCAGCTTGTAGAAAGAAAAGAAAGTACTGTTTGGCAAACAACTTGCAAGCTTTGACTTCAATTTTTCAAGTCCTTCCTCATTCAGTTTTCGGTCTTCAGGTGCTCGTGGGTCATAGCATTTTGGTTTCCTTGGATTAACATTATCTTTTCCAAATTTAAACTTCTGAATAACAATTTCATCAATAGATTGAGGCAAAATAGATTTCATTGAAGCAGGAACATTCCAGGAAGATAACTTGGAAGTACAGGAAACAGGCTTTGGGCAGTCTTGATACCCTTTTCTGTTAAAATCTTCCAGGGCAAAAAGAACACCACCGACATGATTACAGTTACCAAAACCACCTAAACCAATTCCAGCTGGACATGTACATGCTGCACTGCAAACATCGCCGGTTGAATTTGAAAGAACAACAAGAACTGTATACAAAGTATTCTTCATGGCAGCTTTCATGCGGACATCAAAGAATGTAAAATTATTATCTTTGGCAACAGAAAACTTCTTGATATATCCTTCATAAAAGAACTGAAATGACTTGAGCTTTTTGTAACCAGTGCTCTTTAATGCAATATGCTTAAACTTCAATGTTCTGATAACAAGATAATCATACAGCTGAACGAAGGTGAAAACGGGAGTATTACGAAGGTCTGGAATCCAAGGTAAATGGCCACAACGCGATTCAAAGAGGGCATGGTATGTGAAACTTTCACCATCTACGATTGAAGAAGACGCTGCTGAGCTTGGGGTACCCTTTTCTTGTCGTTCCAAACGGGAATAGATCGCAAAGACCCGAAGGATCAAATCGGCCTTCACGCCAGATACTTTCCCTCTGTAACTCAAAAGAATATTCTTCAATTCTTTGACACTTAGCGATCCCAAGTCATCGAGACAGTTAACCGACTTTCCATGTGGTAAAAGCGATTGAAATTGATCCATTATTTTCCAGAATACGGGTCAGAATAACAGAAATATCGAAGAAACTTAACTTCGCGTGATCAAACAGACAGTCAACCAAAGCTTCAAACAACCTTCGCTTCGTTTTCGATACAAGACCTCGTTTTCAAAATGTATTGTGAAAAAGGTCTATTGACCCTGTAGATTACAAATCCAAGATGGGATACTTTCGATTTTGACCGGAAGTGCCTTAATTTGATGACGTCAGAAAACAAGAAATTTATCCATTCTACCTGCAATTTCTCGGTACCCTTACACCCATTTTCAAGAATATCTGCATCTTGTGATTCAGCACCACAAGGGCTATCGATTAATATATATTTCATTAATTTTTACTGACAAAGTTATTTTTAGAAATGACGTCATCATGACATTAAACGACGTTTTGCTTGGACTTCACTTATTTTTTGTTACCAACATGTGTTTTATGATACAGAAACGCATTCCTTCATGTAGAAGCGTTGTTGAAGCCTGTTTTTGTGCAACTAGGCCTATCCTTGTGAAAACTGTGTCAAGCTCGAGGTCACAGCAATGGAAATTACAGCAAATTATATTTGAATTTTTCTAAATCTACCATACTATAGGTAATAGAAGGACGACCTCCCTCTATTATCTATGACCATACCAATCCGTATGTACAAGAATTGTGGTTTAAGACGTCCAGTCAAACTCATCTCTTTCCAACTCGCTATCACTGCTCGAGGAGTCACCAAAAAATATATAATCCAAAACGACTTTGCTCTCTGTAAATATCTCAGTACCGAGTTCTTCTTCACTATTTGAATATTTCGTGGTACACTCACGGGTGCTTGTGCTTATTGCTGCTTTTGTTTCCTTGTTCGTCGCCGTTTCGTAGCAGGAGGAGCTGGTTGTCCTGTTTCTTCATTCTCAGATGATAATGATAA